CCCCTTCAGAGGATGTCTTCAGATATTCATCAGCAGAAGCACAAAAAAAACGAGCTGTGCAAGGTTCTGGGAGTTAACTCTGACCTCCACCTAATGCACCAGCAACTCTCTCTAATCCCTCCACAGAACCACAAGGGGGGATCCATAGCAGAACGTGTTTGCAGATCCTACTTTTAAGTTTGGTTATCTGCCACCACTGGAAGTAAACAACATGATCTGGACTCTAATACCAGCAGGCTCAGTTCCTGTTTGTCTACTGTTTAATCCATATTCCATTACAGTTCTGCTACTGAGACATGACTCTATACAGACACTATCCACACCTCGAGAGTATCACTTCATTTGGAAAATATTATTACAAATAATCCTAATGAAACAGTTCAGCATTAAATCTCAGGCTCAACTTGTGTTGTTTGCTCATTATAATCACTTTATAATTAATCTTCTTGGCAGTGACATTAGAAAGCAAGTAAATTCTTTTAATCGGTTAAGATTTTAATTTATAGATTCTAGTTCCATCTTGAACTCTGTTACGTATTGATTACCTCAACTATTTTGTCAATGTGCACAATTACATTAAAAGTTCCATAAATTAGAGAAGCTTTGTGAAAAAATCATGCAACAGCTCCCAAAGCAGTTTTCAAATCTAATTTTCAAACTTTGTTGATCAAAAAGTGAAAAAGCAAAACAGAGAAAAAAAATTAGCACATGAAGCCTCTTGACCTAAATGTAAAGAAGAAAAAAATCTGAATCCAAGGGCCATTTATGATATGTCACTGATTAAAAAAGTAGTTATCATGTTAGACTTTGGTTTTAAAACCTAAAATCCCTCTGAAATTTTGGAGTGGCCATGACTCAGAAGTTTAAGGCATGGAATCTGCCAAAAAGTAGTTTCTTTTTCCAATGCCACATTACTTTTTTTTTTTTTACCCAGAAAGTGTACTAATAAAAAAGTTTTAAAAAAGGATCTCACAATGAGTCATTATTCTACTCTCTGATCAATTGCAACTCTGAAATACTATGTACTGCTCATAAGGTTTCTTTCATTAAAAAAGAAGGGAAAATATGAGTGAAAATTTAAGTACTGGATGTAATTGCAGCAAAACTGCCCATTATTAGATAAGACAAATTCTACATTATCTGTATTAGAAATACAGAATTTGGCCTCAGCTAGATCAGAAGTCTAAGAAACTTCATGTTCTGCTATTAGAAACTGCCTAAACTGTATGCTTTAAAGACTAACAAAGGAAAATTTTGGCAGAAAGGAATAGAGACAATACTTTCCTAAACCTTGAGGATGTCAGCCTGCACCCTTCAGCATTAAGCGTTCTTTATTTGTATTTAATACGTCAGGTTGGAACTATAAACTTTACTGATGATTAATTACTAAATGATTTGGCCCACAATATACCACCTTTCCATATTTTAATAAAATTTTAGGTGAATTAAATCAAAGAACTCTAGATATCAATTTAAGTTTATTCTGGGAATTTGTTTTTCCAAGAACAAATCAAATAAAAGGATGACTTTATAATTGTAACTTTTTTAGGATGTGCATCATCTCTTTTAGGCAGTTTTCACTAGCCAAGTGTTTTATACTTTTAAATTAAAAAGACATAATACATTAAAGTTTCAAATAAAAGCCTCATTTCAAACAGCTGAATTATATGGATATGATACAGCCCTGTGGTGTACCACACCTGCAGGTATATCTGTGGTAAAAGAAAAACAACGTGGTGCATAAGTCTTATGAAAAAGGTTAAAGGCATATTTTAGCCTATTAAACAGAAAACTGCACCTTGTATTCATCTCCATAAGAATATGCTTTAGTGTTGCAGACAGTTCTTCAGTAGATCCTCCTCTCTTTGGTATGGTCTAACAGATATCTCATTGTGTTTAGGTAGTTACTAATCTGGGAGCGTTTCAAGATATAAAAAGCACCATAAGACTCACAATGTCTTTCTTGACTGATTCTCTTATCACTAAAGTCTAATTTAAAGCAATTTTAGCTCTCTTCACATAAATTATTATGTAATAAAAATATGCATATTCAAAGAATAAAACCAGAATGTTTTGGAATGATCAAGGTAAGAAACTGTAAACAATAAGAAGTGAATACTTACATGTATGGAGGTTAAGAGGAGTTTGGGGATATTACAAATATTAATACAGGACTGTGAACTACAAATGCTACATGTCCATCTGTCTGCCCTAAACCTTTGTGGCATTTAATGAAAATCATTAGCTACATTCAAGCACAAAGATATAACTACCTGACAACACTCACAATCTATAAAACAAAGATTGCAGATGCAAGTAATTCTCCTTTGTAAACTAAGACAGCCTACAAAACCCACTTCCTGTAATTTACCTTTCCTTATTATGCTTTCGTCAATAAACCAAACCCCATCTCCCTTAGAGGCTTAAGAAGCTGAAAGACATAGCATAAGCCTTGAGATCTCAGTCTAGCACATATCTTAGGCATCCTGTGAAGGAAACTAGATGCTCTGCACAAGTCTTACTGTGTGTTTTAACATGCAGGTTTTGTGGGTAGATTTCCTGCTTTTGCTCCTCATTCAACTAACAGTAATCTTCACATTCTGTTTATTTTACCCTTTCCATTTTGCAGCACCACAGGCCTCAGCTGGGTCATCACTGTTAACTGTCACGAAGACTTCAACTTGCAAGTGGAGAGCTTGCAAAGGCATCAAACATACAAACAAATACATCAAAATAAATTCACAACAGTAGCTCAGATTCATAAAACAAGGAGCATTTTGTAAGAATGTCTTATTTCTCCAGAGACTCACATATCATCAAATTGAATTTGAAATAAACATAAGCACAATAGACAGAATACAGTATAATGAAGATTTTCCTTAAAACTAAGTATGTAAGTTGCATACAGTTCTAAATGGTAGCAGATTTAGCTTCCACTATTTTCAAACTGAAGTTAGCAGCTGTAACTGGCTTAAACTCTCACAGTCTTAGAACTCAAAATGGACTGATTTCACAACCCAGTTATGCAGATTTACATTTTACTTTATTTTCTAAGATATTTTTCTTTTTTGTAAAAAATATTAATTTTTATCTCAGGCACACTTTTCTTTAAGAACAATTTTTGCTTACTGCATTCTTATACTACCATAGTATTCCATTTGATGTACAAACCTAACAGATTCTAGGGAGATGTAATTCAACCTGTAAAGAGACAGTATTCTTCCCCAAGATGTTTTTTACTTTACTGTAATACAAAGCTCATTATTATGGACTGGTGTCTTTAAGACTGTCATCTAAGACATCTAAGGAACATTTGTTTCAAATGTATTACTGCTAACTGTATCACTTCTGAAACTGACTCACAAAGACACACCCTCCTCATCTGCCTCACCTTATAAAGCCAAAAGTTAGACCAAAGTAAAACTGGACTTCTTGTTTTGTTTTTATTCAAATTACCAAAAAAGATCAGTAACAAAGATATTAGGTTACTTTCTGAAAGAACAAAAAGGGGAATGCAAGTTGATTAAACAACAAGGTTTGAAGTAGAAAATCTAAAATTTAGAAACAGATTCAACAACTGGACAAATTTCTGCAGTCATATCAGATGACACTGCTAGGTATAATCTAAAACACAGCATCGTCTAATTCAACAATTCTGATGGTAGAGTTTTTGCTGCATCTCTCAGAGAGACAATGTAGCTGCTAATTCTTTTTTTGCGACAAAGCCCCCTAAAGGACCTACAAGTTGGCCAATTTAAAGACTGCACATTCTGGATTACCATTCACATTTGATAATTTTTCTCAGATTTAGCAGATGGAAACTAGAACAGCTGTTTGTAAACTGGAAGTAATTTTATTTATTCAGATTAATACACACACACACAAACAATTACACCTACCCAAGTGCTATGAGCATTTTGAATACTTGAAAACTCAACAGAATCAAGGCCCATAAAATAACTTAAGTGTAACTCTGTAACAAAACTGAGGAACTTGGTAAAAAATTAAGGGATTTTCAAATTTTTCCAGTGCCAGAAGTGCAGCACATGGGAAATATAGCAGTTAATCTATTTGAGACATGATAAAAGGAGAAAAGTATATTCAAAGTCCTAATATCCAGAAGAACAACTTATTTTTAAGTTTTATTCCCATACTAGATTGAGATAACATTTCAAACATCCCTTCTAAACTTATCTCAGACAGTATAGTTCAAGGAACTCAGGCTGAATATTATCATATTGTCATAATTTGCTGCACAAATGTATTGCACTATCATCTTCTGAATCTTATTCAGGCACAGGTATATACTCTTACTTGTAGTGACAAAGAGATTGAAGCCTTCAATTGACAGTCTTGTTTGATTCTGGGGATAAAAAAAAAATCTCTGCACAAAGAATTGATGCTTTTTTTTTTTTTTAACAAGTGGTTACATTAATGTTTTCAGTGATTCTGATCAATGCTTTTGAATTTCCCAAGCACCTGGCCAAATTCAAAAGGAGAAAGATTGCTACAAATCCTAGATGTTGTATGAAGGAGCCCAGTATTTTCAGATCTGCCAGAGTTCATTATTTACATAGTTGCTACCTTACCCTCCCATGCTTCTTAGATTGTGTTTTTTGTTTTCATAGTCCTGACTCAAAGAAGACATTGCACTTTCTTTGTACACTTATTTGATAACTCCCCGATATCCTTTAAATTCACACTATTTTTTATTCACACTATTTTTTAAATTAGCTTATCACTGTAATGATGATACATTTTTACACATAAAGTGCAATTGATGAGTTATTATGCTAATGTATTTCAGTTGTTTGCATTAGAGCAGGCTAAATGAGTGGCTGACATTTATTACTGAACAAACTTATCATAATTGCAATCCACTACATCAATAAGAGAAATGTCATATTCCTTTTAACACTGATCTTTTTTTCTGCCTGCTAGGAATTCTAGTTATGAGTTTCATTGTGCTAAGGACAAACCAGTCTTTTCCATACACTTACCCTCTGACAGCATGAATAAGTCTCAGTGATGGATAGGCAGTTCGCACTTTCAATTTATTCTTAAGGATTAATGCATTAACCCATTCCACATGCTTCTCTCCGCCTTTGACCATGAAAGCTGGGATCCAAAGGACACTGTCATTCAGCATGGATAGTCTATGGACAAATTTTTCTCTGTCACTCTCATTCCGAAAGCCTCCAAATGCTCTTTGTACAACTGATGGGTTCATGGTAATAAAATCAGATTTAGTTCCCACATCGGCAGCAAACTCCACCACAGGAGCTAGATTGCACCTGAAGAGGAAGAAATTAATGGAAAAATGAAAATAAATATGAAACATTAACTCAGAAAAATGTGTGCATGAAGGGAAAGCTGAAAATGAACATGCAAGTCCAATTCAATTTAATGTGAGGGAAAAAAACCCAGAAATAATAGGTGTGATAACACACAGCATTTACTCAACTTGAACACTCTTCAGACAAATTTTTAAAGACATTAAGTGTACCTAATGCTGTGAGTAAAAAAAACCTCTTTGGAAACCATGTCATCATGCTCTCAAATGCACTGACAGCTGAAGCAGCACTTGTGAATAAGGATATGCTTTCTTAAACCTATTACCCCTCATTAATGTTCATTCGTCATGGTGTTACCAAGAGCTCACACAAAGAAAGCCATGGTATCCAAATAAGATATAACTTATGCAGGTTAGTCAATGCATTATTAGTTGGTTTTTTTTTACAATATAGTATTTAAACATTATTTACAAACATTACCACATGTTTAAATGAATTTTTGATAATTTGTTTTTTGGTATTATTGTTGCAGTTGATTGCATGTTTTGAAATGCAGTATTTTTATTTGACTTAGAACTACAATTTTTGGGAAAATGTACCAAATTTTCAATTTTTCCTTCATATATAATTTTTAAACCTTGTTTAATTTTTCAGTAGCTTTGTGATTTTTTTTTTTAGGGCCTTTGTTAAGCAGATTTTTACCTCAGTTATATAAATATGTATATATGTAATCACAGACATGTTGAACACTGGTAACAAAATGTGATTCAGAAATCATTTGTGATTTCAGTGCCTACCATTATCTGACTGAAACAAATTGCCTCCACAACATTCTGAATGAATTAACCTGTAGCTGGTTTGCCCCAAATATGTATCTTGACTCAACAATATTTTCATAATTTAACAGACTGCTCTGTTAAGATAAAGGATGCTGAGAAGCAATATCAGAATTAGCTCCCTCAAAACATTTGCGTATTATTATACTCCTAATACAAACAGTGCTCCATTAGTTTTCCAATTTCTATTTTTCTTTGTGCAGTAAACTTTTTACTTAAGCTCATCCACTGGTTTCTTCTAACAGCCAGACGCCCAATGACATATAAAAATAAGTCAGCATTGCTTAACACCGATTGATGATTAGTCCTGACTGATACTATGAATTACTCAGAATATCATTTTCATTCTGGAATTATCAGCTAAAGAAGTGGTCCTATCTTCTTCAAAAAGAAATGTTCTGTAAACCCTCTATATTCCTAGGAGATAAAGAAGTACAAGTTTGTGATAACATGTGGGCAGATGCAGGCTTTCTTACGAAACGGATTTACATTCTTCATTATCTTTATACATCTACTCCATAAACAATCTGCATGTATTTCAGGCTGCTAAGAGAAACATCTTTCAGAAAATAGTAGGTAGGGCACAAGAAAAACTCCCACTGAATTCAACAGTGGCTTTGAAAATTCCCTCTGAAAAGCTTAATGCACGAACCTATAACCTGTAATTAATAAAAGTCTGTTAAAATCTAAAAATAATTATAAAAATTCAAACCAAGTACTTAAAATCAACCAAACAAATTCAATGAAATACTGCTGCTTTTGAAAATACCTCTTTTAAGGGCTCACTGCACAAGATAATGAAGAATTCTTGCAAAGCAGGGTTTTTTGGTACTCAGATATACACATGCAATGACATCTATTACTTAAAAATGTAAGACAGATATTGACACTGCAAATCCTGCTCCCTCTGAGAAGCAGACCATGTATGTACCAATACCATAGCATTTAAAAAGCTGTACACCATATCCACAGTGTGCACACATAACAGTGGTCTTAAGGTTCTAATTTGATTTTATGCCTTTTGACAGCTCCTTTCTCAGCTGCCAACAACATCAGTGCTTAGACCTTAAGAGCCTAGTTTTAAACCAGCTTATAAATGTAATTTCACCTAAATCGTGGGAAAAAATCATCATAGGTATACTAAATACAAAGTCTCCTACTTTGCATGTCATTACTGCTACAGTAATATACTTAAATACTGTATTTTAGAAGGGTATAGAGAGTAAGCAGTTCACTTTGTAATATACTGTGTATTTAGATTTTTCAAGTGTAACTCTGGAAAATAATGAGCAATCCAAATGCACTCAGTAACTATGGGGTTACAGTGTTTTACCACCCCCACTGTAAAACATCTTCTTTATAACTAGTCTGAATTTACCCTCATTCCGGTCTTGCTAAAAAGTTTATCTCCATGTTTCTTATATGCTTCAAGGCTAATAAAAACTAGTTACTGTTTATTGTGTATATAGACCTGAATATACATAAATAGCTTTTACTTAACTTCTAATGCATCTTTATGCTATGCCATGGTTTCATACTGTTGTTAGAATTTTTATTTTGCTAGCAAATGTCAATGATCTCTTATCAATTCTCATGACTCTTTCAAGAAAACTTTGCATTCAGATACACATAAACATACACTAATTTTCTTTATAGTGAAATTAGGAAGCCTATTAATTGAACCACTTAAATTCTAGTTAATTTGCCATAAGGCACAGAATGCCAAATATTTTCACAGCAGTGATGAGGAGGTGAGAGGGATTCTACACCAAAAGCTTTACCATTATGTGTCTAGCGATTTATAAATCATAAATTAAACCATGTTTTTTGGGGGGTTATTTCAGGAAGAATAAATAGAGGACTGTAATTTACTGAATTTCCCCTTACTCACATGCTACCTTACTGATACCTTAAAACTAAATGCCTGCTTAAAATTTGACTCCAAACCACAAACTTCCTGCAACATACCATCAAATGCCATTCCTTCTAAAAACAACTCCAATGTTGTCTTCACGTTAACGTGTAAGTAAGCAGGTTGCAGGTAAGCAGCCTGCAGGTGGAAGATGAGCAAGACAAACTTGCTGTGAGGTTACTGACACTGAGAATATAAGAACAGATTGTAATTAACAGTCACACATAGCACTGAAGATTGACTTAACAATTAAGCAAATAACTGTAAATATGATCAATGACAATATAGCATATTAGAAGAATATGCTCTTTCCCCTGAGACCAAGCTATTGACTGTTTCCACAGAAAAGGATAAAATGCGTTTTGCCCCAGAAAAAAAAATTTAATAAATAATGGGTTTCATCTGTTCCCTTGTTTGTTTTTTTTTCCCTAAAAAAATCACTTTAAGTATATTATTTGAAACAAAAATCTTACGGCTATTTTTTTTTCAATGTAATTTGGCTTAATCAGAAGCTCTATTACTTCGTCCTTCCCTTGCACGAAACTAGCAAATAATTAGAGTTATTATTTGCTCCCTTACTTCTAACCACTTACCTACAGCAGAAGTGTTCAGAAACTGGTGTCATGAGACAAAGATGGATACATTTGGGAGAGGGGGCTAGAAAAAAACCTAAGTGGAAAACATTCATAACTGGTGATTGCTAGTATCTTAGGCAATAATATGCAAGGTGCCTCAAATTAATGCTGCAGTCCCTGTTCTCCCCATGACATCAGATCAGGCCATAGCTAAAACCTCATAAAACAGACATTTAAACAGGTCAGTTAGTCTTAACTTGGTATTAGGCATCAATTATATGATTTAGATAATTGGTAAGTTTACAGGGGCACCTAACTTATATAGTATTTGTGTATAATCATGACAGTGAAAAGCTAATATATAAAATATTTATATTAAAAATGCAGGGGCTCTTACACAGGAGCTTTCAGTGCAATAGCAGGAAGATTTGCAACAGGAAGATGGACTGCAATGTTATTACTAAAGAGAGCTCTGCGATACAAGGGAAAAACTAGATAATGTCTGAAATATCATGTGGTATTTTGGACACATGTAGAACAACTGGGATGCTAAGATACACAGGTCATAAAGTCTCAGTGATTGAAAACTCAATTCTTCCACAACCACCTGTTGCATATATTACTTACACTGGGACATTTTCAGAAAAAGTGTAGGGGAAAAAAAAAACAAACTGCCAATAGTTCGAGTTGTATGCCATGAGAAAAGACTGAAGAATGGAGTAAGTACTCCTATACCACACTTACACCAAACTTATCAACCCTTGCTGTGACATCTTTATGGTCCAAGCACATTCATAACACACACCATCTTTTAGAGAACAGAGCTTAAGAAGAAATTACTGAAAACATAGTCACAAAATATACTCAAATAAAAAGTCAGTTATTCCAGAGAGATTCAGTTCAACTTGCTTTGTCACTAATAAACATATAGATCATGCATATGAATGCCAATGTCCAACACCTAGTATTCATAGAGTGTAGGTTGTTCTATTCAAATTAATTTAAAAAAGAAAAGGTCATGAAAATTTCCTTGAGTAAAAATGACTACCATTTCCATTTTATCTGATACTGAAAACTAAAATAATATTCTACATACAGCAACAACGCAAGAATTGGCCATGATCTGTACACATCTTAATCCTCTAACAATTGGTACACTTGAGGATCAAAAAGTTGAAATAAACACTTTAGAAACCATTTTGAAAGGCTGCAAAAAAGTGCTTTAAAACCATTTGTTGTTTCATTAATATCTTCTCTTTGTAGAACAAAGCCAAAAAATCAGTCACACAATATTAACCACATATAGTCTGAGAAGCCAAAATATGATAATCAGATTGTTGCTGGCAGACATATTAAACCTCCCTGAAACATAAGGCATTACCGTGACTAGTGTCAATAATATAGTCTCTACTCAGTCTACATGCGAGAAGCACATTGCCCTAATTCCTGTGTGTATGCGGCTCATCTTCCAGCCTGGTTGTTCAAATAAAGGTGTGCAGCAGCGCTGTGATCACTTTCACATACACCCAAAAAAGGGAGATTACAAAGAGTCATGCACAAACTTCCTACATTCCCGGTCAGGGCCACTCCCGGGCAGGTGGGGCTCGTTAGCCCTTAAAGGCAACCCACCTACGTCCTAAGGACCTCGCTGCCACCATCCAAGCTCGCTTGGCCCCG